TGACGGTTATCAGCATACTCCCGAAACAAATAAAGCAAATATTAGTAGAAGTTCTGTCGATATAAAATCTAGGTTAGTCACTGTGACTTCATCAAATCAAGGAATTGTGCAACGTGAAAGTAAAAGTAGACCAAAAAAGAAACAATATCAATAATTTTTTAAGCCTGAGGACTTTGTGTGTAGTTTTGTTTAGTTTCTTCTTTTTTGTTAATTTTGCTAATAAAGGTGGAGTTTATTTTTATGATGCATGCATGGCGCATGTAGACTCTCCTCCTCTTCCTTCTTGTCTCTTCTCTTCATTCCTGGCATACCAGAGAAGCCCGTGGGCCGAGGAGGAGTGTAAGGACTGCAAATACTAACAGCAATTTAGTTATACCGAGAAAGAAAGAACGAGTGAGAGATACAGAGAGAAAGAAATTTATACCAAGCAAGACCCCTCGCCTATTTCTCGTTTTCTTATAATAGTTCGGAGATAGAGAGAGACTTTATTAGAATCTATCAACAGAGTGCCTACTGTCTAAGTCTTCTCTTTTTATAAGACTGAGAAGAGAAGGAGACACAAACTGGATTCAAGATGAACGTGTGGCGTGTTATGAACAAGAGGAAGAAGCAAGAAAAGAGGAAGCATGCGTCTGTTAGTTCTGTCCCTGATTCCTTTAGTGTGCCTAGTGCATCAGGGAGCTCTGTGTCCAGTTCACAATCAAGTACAGGATTACATACTGGAGGAATAACTACTGGAGGAGCAACTGGACTGTATCACCATAATGCACCTAATAGCACTGTAAGGAGACATCCTTTTCTCTCTCTCTCTCTTGCCCTCTCTCTCTTTTCCTTCTCCATCATTCTCTCTTCATTCTTCTCTATTCATTCCTCTCTCTCTCCCTCTCTTTATATCAATTTTCTTTTATTTACTTGTTTATGTCTTCAACTGTACATTTACCTGCTGCTGCAGTGATGTCAGTTTTATTTTCTGCCTTATCTCATACTCTTGTGTTTGAACCCTCTCAATTTCACTACATGTACATCTACACGTATATACAACACAAAAATTTAATTTCATACAAGTATGCTATGTCCTTTTTACTCTCTCCCTCTCTTTTATTTTAGAGTTTAAAAGTGCAAGAACCTCCAGCTCATCACATTGTTCATGTACAGACTCCTCCAAGAAGAGATAGTGGACACTCTCCTAGTCATCATCCAAACCAAGAAGTTTGGGCTAGCAAAGTAAGAGAAAGAGGAAGGAAAAGAGAGAGGGGGAGAGAGAGAAAGAGAGGGAGAGAGGGAGAGGGTGTAGAGTTAACGAGAACAGATCACCTTGTGTTCATGTACCAGCCTCTGTAGCCAGACAATTTTCAAAAGAGGAAAGAATGAAGGAATATTCAATATACACAAACACACTCTCACAAATAATAATTATGGAGTAAATATGTTTACATGTACTTGCTTTACTTTATACAAGCATCCTTAAATACAATGTACTATCATACACTTAGATATACAGTTTATCTATCATCATTGCTCTATTATACAGGTCAATGGTTCTGCTCCTAGTTTTACATTGGGGACACTCTCTCCTAATCCACACTTGCCTAAAGTAGGTGTTACTAATATGATATGCACTGTGTACATGTACATGTGCATATTTGTATGTCCAATTGTAATTTCATACTAAAGATGATGTTTCTTGATTCCATTGTTTGGTTGTCTCATATTTTCTTATTGGAGAGCACACATTACATTCACATGTTCTTAGATCCTATCATGCGTACTATTCTCATGCTTCATACTTCTACATTTCATTCCTATACCATGCTTCATATTTCCATTCTCATACTTCATACTGTACTATGCTTCATGTGTTCATTTACTTTCATTCCTGTGCTATACTTGATTCATTCTCATGCTTCATATTTCCATTCTCATACTTCGATTATCCCTCTCTCTTTCTCGTCCGATACATTAAGCTAATACAATTAATATGGTAATAAAGTTCATAATGTATGTTATTAGTGTCAAATGCTTGTTATTTGCTTGTCGATACATATTGGGTGCTGTTTTTAATAATAACTATTGTGTGTGTGTGTTCACGTACAATTAAGTTGAAAATAGAAAAAATTACTAATAATAATAATATCTATACATGGCACATGTAGCAGTAAGATGCTATAGCCTCTCTTAATGGACACTCTCTATAGCGTACACCTCCATTTAACGGACAGCACCTAGTGTACCAATTACATTCCTTACTGTATAAAATAGCCTCCACATAAAGGACACCTCTGTATAACAGAGCAACTTTCTTGCCCCAAAGTTTCCATTATATAGAGGCTGTATAATGAAATGTAGAAAATAAATTTAATAAATCCTGTATGAAAAATATCCTAATTCTTTGTTTACTAAGCGTGTATTAAATGTTGTGCCTCTGATAAAGTGGAGTGTTTTCCATAAAGAAGTCCTTGATCGTTTGATCCCATTAGCAGCTGCATATTATACTCAATCATTAGTACAACCCATTGACTCTATATGGCCCATTGCTTTGATATTTAGTTACAGCATTGTGGCTCTGCAATTGTAACTGTATACACACATGTACATGTACATATACATGTACATGTACATGTGTGTGTATGTGTGTGTGTGTGTGTGTGTGTGTGTGTGTGTGTGTGTACTACATGTAAATGTGTATGTATTGCAGGTGTAGGTAGGTATGTTTCATTAGGTGCCAATGCATTATCTGTTCTTTATGTGTTGTGATAGCTGATAGTTCATGTCTCCCACTCTCCTTTCCTCTCTTTCCTTTTTCCTCTTTCTCTCTGACTCACTTTACTGACACGTATATGATGTCATTTTAATTTCTACATGTACATGTAGTACTGTATTTTATACGTGTACAGTCTATCTCTTTCCTTTTAATTTTTTTTTGAATTTTTGCTCTTTTTCCTGTAAATTCTTAATTTTAATCAAATCAGTCCATACTTTAATTATCTCTCTCCCTCCCTCCCTCCCTCCCACTTTCTCCCTCCCTTCCTCTCTCTCCTTCCCACCATCTCTCTCTC